CCCTGGTCTCCTCCCTGACCCTTTCCAAGTCCACTGATAGGGGAGGATCTCCTCCCCTTTCATTTGACCCTGTTTTATCAGGTATATTCAAGGCTGGCTGCAAAGTCCTCCTCTGTGGCCTAACAGGACTGCTCCTCCCCTGGGGGGGAGGACAAAGAGCCTGCCCTTGAGATCCTGTTAGAAATAGTCCTTGTTCCCCTTGCTTTGGAAAACTACTTGGTTACTGAGCTACCACAGGCCACATCCCAGCAGAAGTTCTATGTTATATCCATAGATGGTCCTTCGTTGAGTGTCAGTCTCAGAAAAGGCCCTGTGCCCGGATATATTTGGTACTTGTAGAGCTCCTATCCTTTCCATATCATACTAACTTCCCTTCTTTCATATGATTCCCTGCACTCTGCCAAGGTTTGGTTATGAGTCTTAGTGTCTGCTTTGAAACACCGCCAGGCAGAGTCTTTCAGATGCCTTTTGCGGTAGACTCCTGTCATACATTCAATGCACATCCCATTTGTCTTTCTAAATGAGGATTGATCATCTTCACCCATGTCCACTTACTTGATTATCTTCTTTAGGTGTGTAGATTTCATTATGTTTATCATATCTTGTAGGTCTATATAAGCGAGTATATACCAAGTTTGTCTTTCTCCTTCTGGGATGGAGAGTTTTACTCTATTCATCTTATCTATGAGCAGTGGAGAGCTTCCTTGCCCTTGCCCAGGCATAAAATAAACAGTCTTCAGTAATACAGCAGAAAACTGAAAATCTTCTGCATAACAAAGGACTGCCATCATTCTGAAAATGTAGCAGTGTACAGAAAGCTAAAACATTTTTACCAACTACCCACCCAAATAAAGGCTAATGTTCAAATACATAAATAAATCAAAAGAAAAAATAGATAACAAGAAAATATACAATCCAAATAAAACACCTACAATTCTAAATGAAGAATTTTTTTATCTTTATTAATTACAGTTTATTCACTTTGGTTCCCAGCTGTAGACTCCTCCTCCAGCCCTCCCAATCCCACCCTTCCTCCTCCTTCTTCTCCTATACCCCTCCCCAGTCCAATAATAGGGTAGGAGCCCCTCCCCTTCAATCTGACCCTAGTCTATCACGTCTCATCAGGACTGAATTCTTTGTATTCCTCTCTTGGGTGGTAAGGTTGCTACCCCCGCAGGTGGAGGTGATCAAAGGACCAGCCCATGAGTTCATCTCAGGTCACTATTTGCAGATGTTAGGATAGCATACATGAGTGACCCCAAAAATTCTATCAGGGAACTCCTACAGCTTATAAACTCCTTCAGCCAAGTGGCTGGATACAAAATCAACTCACAAAAAAATAGTAACACTCTTGTATGCAAAAGACAAAAGGGCCAAGAAAGAAATTAGGGAAACAACACCCTTCATAACAGTCACAAAGGACATAAAGTACCTTGGTGTAACTCTAACCAAGCAAGTCGAAGACTTGCATGAAAAAAAAAGTTCAGTCTCTGAAGAAAGAAATAGAACAATATCAGAAGAGAATTCTTAAAGAAATAATTCAAATGGCTGTGAAACATTTAAAGATATGAGCAAGGTCCATAAGTCATCAGGGAAATGAAAACCAAAAGTGTTTTGAGATATGGTCTAAAGAGAGTCACAATGGCTAGGAATGTTCAGACATTTCTAGTAGGAGTACAAACATGTTTAGCCACTAAGGACATCTCTATGGCTCTTCCTCAGCAAGATGGAAATTGTTCTGCCTCAGGAACTAACTATACCACTCTTGGTATAGGTATAGAATGTTTCATCCTTCCATGGAGACATTTTTGCAAAGATGTTTATGACTGCTCTATTAAACATTTCTCGAAATTGGATATAACCCTGTTGTCCATCAACAGAAAAATAGATAAAGAAAATGTAGACATTTACACAACAAAATATTACTCAGTCATTTAAAAAAGTAAATCATGAGATTTCAAAGTAAATGTGTATCTACAGGTAAACTAGAAAAAATCAGTCTGAGTATATAACAACACAAGTTCAAAAATACAAATATGGCATGTATCTACTTATATGATATTACTTGTAAAGTGAATGATAAGCAACCTACAGTACATAAAACCATGTAGGATACACAAAGAATAAGGGACTAGTTTTCAAGAAGAAGTAAATAGATCTCCCTAGGATAGGGTAATAAAATAGTTATTTATAGATTGAAGAAGGGTTCATAAAGGAGACTTGGTTGGAAGTGGGGAAGAAAGAAGACATTAAGGAAAGTAATATGAAGAGAGACAGCCAAAATTAAATGTCAATTGAATGTTCCTGTAGCAAACTAACATAATAATTTTCTTCCTACAATATATACATAGCTGAAGGTGATCCAAATGAAATAATATGAGAGTCCCAATAAGATGTCACTTGTCATCAAATGAAGACTGGTTTATATCTACTTGAGCTGGTGGCCAAAGGAGTCTTATTGGAATTCCCAAACAATGCACACTTTTATCAAATTTATAATTTGCTTTCCATAAATTCACTGCAAGTCTCTATTGCTGAATACAACACTTAGTCAACTCACTGCACATAGAGAAATTAAGCTGGTGCCTCCAAAGAAATTTCATTATATAGTTATATTTATTTATAGGTAGATAGATATATATATATAGAGATGATAGATAGATTTGTGTGTGTGTAATTCATATATATATATATATATATTCCAGTAACCAAAATTTGTAAGATTATACATAGGAGACATCAATTAATTGTTTTGTTTTATATATATATATATATATATATATAAGAATTAACATTACATCATTTTTTTCACTTTCCTACCTTCAAAGCCTCTTGCAGTTTTAGATCTTTTGAAATTTCATGGTTGCATTTTCATGAATTTTACCTAAGTTAGATATCAAATTTTGATTTGCGTTATATTGTATATATCATATTATAACAATAATATAAAATAATACCATGAAATTATATCAGCAGTAATTATGATAAATAGTGTTACAGTAAAGTAAAAAAAAAGTATAGAGATGAAGTATTTTTCTTTTCGGTTGTTGTTATGAGACAGTTGACTGAATCCAGCCATCTCAAGACTTCTGTTGTGAGGTTCAAAACTGAGTTCATATTCACAGGCCCTAAAACCTACTCCTATCCTGATTCTTCAGGTGATTCATGTTTGTCTTTTAATCAAGAAAGAATGTAAAGAGGAAAATGGCTGATAATCTAAACTAAGCACACAAGTCGTAAATGTGTTGCCTGTCATGACTTAAATTGACTATGAAGAGCTTGCCCCCTCTTTTGGGCCTGTATAATTCTGAATTTGGTGCCAGACGTCCAAGAGGAGGTCTGAATGCAAAAGCTGAGGTGAGAACCCTGAACCCAGGTGTCCTGCATAAGGCTGAGTCACTAGTGTTTACTTTCTTGGTCAAAACCCCATGCCAAAGTATGATTGAAGTCTCCCTGTCCAGCCCCCCACCCCATGTCCCTCCTCTAGTCTACTAAGGATGACCTCCTCTTCTACTATCTTACTGTAGCTTATCAGATCTCATCAAAACTGTCTGGATCTACTTTCCCTGTTGCTTAATTTAGCCACCTTGACTGGTGGAAGTGAAGAAAGAGCTATCAAAGTGATCAAAGAGTGACTGCCTCTGCTCCCCTTCCTAGGAGAAATCAAATATTCAAACTACTTTCACAACAGCAATCCAAAACAAACAAGCTGTTTTTGGATGACCTACAATTTTGTCTCAGACTCTGGTGCTCTCCCAAGTCACTGTGGACCATGATGAAATCATACAGGTTGTTGAAGAAAGAACCAAACATGTTTTTCACCCACATGGAGGAACCAGGTGCAAAGCCTCAAGGCTATGGGATGAGAGGAACAGAACAATAAAAAGACAGCAAATTCAGAGCAAGTCTGGATACAGTGACAGAGATATCTCATCACTGTTACCCTCAGTTGTCTGGATTTCGCTACAGTATGTGCGCTGGCCTGTCATGAGAGCCTTTGGTTAGGCACAGACTGAGAGTCTGAAGCAACAGTAGGAAGCAACTGTAGCATACAAAGTCTTCTCTGACACTGTTGAGTCTGAACCTCTTCTAGGACCTAAGCCAAAAATCTCATTGGATCAATCTCAATGCAGGGGACTGTCTCTGTGTAGTGAAGAGCCTGACATGTATTTGCCTTTGCTTTGCCTCCTCCTCATCCTACAACCTGTGTATAACATGAGGATGCCTCTGCTCAGTTGTGGTTATTACTGGGAGCCCAACACATACATGGAGGCTGATGTTAACCTCACTACATTTATCCCCATTTCCATCCCACTTGATCTACCCCCAAATGTCCGGAATCCTTTTGACAAAGAACCAAGTGAACTATGGAATGCTGATCTGTGAGTACTTGCTTGAATGTGCTATGATTGTTCTGGATAAAAGATAGTACATGACCTACTAAACACATGTAATTCCATTGAGAATAATGAACTAGATACAGAACAATGTGAAAAACAGTTTCACATTTTTTTCTGCTTCATTGTTCATTTGCAAACATTTTCCCACGTCTCTTTGTTATGCTTCCAGTCAGAAAGAAATCATTGATAGAAAAAAAAAAAAAACAACTTTTATGTCTCTCCATGGTGTGATTCCATGGCAAGACTTACATATTTTTAACACACTGACTCTAATATGTCAAGATAAGTTTCTATTCTTCTCAGGTCTATTGGGCCATCTAAATGTCTTATGATTGCATATCTATTTCTTTCCAGAGACTTGTAACATTTCTGCTAAAGTGAACTTGAATATCCCTATGTCCTCAGTACAAATATTAGTATCTGCGATTTGACATGCTCTGGCTTTAGTATCTTAAATGTATCTCAGAGTATAAATAAGCGTGTGGTCATACTTATGACTTATTTATTTATCATTGACATTGTAATAAAGTGTTCTGAAATTCATGTCTTTCATATTCTGTCTTCTGCTTACTTAGCTCTGCTGGACACCCAGTTTTCTGTGATTTGATTGGAAGCTTTATGATTTTCATTTCCAAGCTTTCTATGTCTTTCTCCTCCTTTAGAATCTCAATTTTATCCTAGGATTTGTCTTATATGGTACTGAGTCTTTCCTGTGTATTGCTGTTTATTCTATTCCTCATCGAAATTCTCCTGGAAACTGTTGATTCTTGTCTCAATGCCCAGTTGAATTAATTGTTTGTTTCTGTCTTCTCTGTTCTTCATCTCCTTACTTTCTGAAGTATTCACCTGCCACTTTATCTCTCTGAGAAACTGTGAGTTAGGTTGTTGGTTATTTATGATACTGTAGAGGAGTCATTAGGCTTTTTCATATTCTTGTTTTTCAGTTGATGTTATAATTGGTACATGTGTTCATTTGAACATCAATTTTGGGAGTAGGATGGTCCATTGATGAAAAGAACTTATTGAAACCTCAATACATATTTACTCTCTGAGCAGGAAACAAACATACAAGTTTGTTGTCCTGGTAGTTGTATTGTTAAGGAGTACTTAGACATAAAATCACATACATGCCAGGATTCCTAATTAATTTTAGAAGTAAAGAACTCTTAGGAATGCTTTCACAAGATAGAAAAACCATAGTTCAATAGCTCACTGCAACTGGAGAGAAGGAATCCAAACACAAGAGGAAGGAAAAAGCCAATCCTCAGATATAGACAAGAGACAGAAAAGACTAAATTGTTAATTGAAAGAAGTTTTCATCTAGATTCTGTTTGACTTGTGATAGGTGGATCAAGTCTCAATTCCTTGAAGTAGTTTTTAAAGTTTACATAAAGATATAAAAGTTTTAACTATATTAACATGTGCACAATCTGTAATCTATTCTGAAATCCTCACTGTAGGAAATGCAAGTGTCTGTAAACACCTGGAGTACACTCATGCTTTACAGCTCAAGCTTGGGCACACACACAAAAAAACCCATGGTTCTGGGCTGAAAAATGAACAGCCTTTCTTCTCTCTGAATGTGTAATGGCAGATATGATTTCAGCACAATGGGAAGCATTGAAGTATATCTTCATCAGGAATGAAAGGACACTAAAAAGTTTGATTCTGTAACTATGAGAAAACTAGCCAGTGCTATCACCTGGTGATTTTCATAGCATATCAGAACTCCAGTGATTCATTTTTTAAAACTCTGAAAGTTTGACATCTTTGAGTCTCATTTTCACATATTTTAAACCACTTTCTCAGACATTTACAACTTGCAGTTACATACCTTAAATCACCTTAGACATTAAAAATTTACAAGGACCAAATATATCCAGGCACAGGGTCTTTTCTGAGACTGACACTCAACCAAGGACCATCTATGGATATAACCTAGAACTTCTGCTCGGATGTGGCCCGTGGCAGCTCAGTAACCAAGTAGTTTTCCAAAGTAAGGGGAACAAGGACTATTTCTAAGAGGATCTCAAGGGCAGGCTGTTTGATTCCCCCCCTCCAGGGGAGTAGCAGTCTGTTAGGCCACAGAGGAGGACTTTGCAGCCAGCCCTGAAGATACCTGATAAAACAGGGTCAAATGAAAGGGGAGGAGGTCCTCCCCTATCAGTGGACTTGGAAAGGGTCAGGGAGGAGACCAGGGAGGGAGTGTGGGGTTGGGGAGGGAATGAGGGAGCAGAATACAGCTGGGACACAGTTAACAAAATGTAACTAAAAAGAAAAATAAAATTTAAAAAAAAAGAAAAAAAAATACATCAACTTTAAAGTGTTTTTCCCCTATCCAGGCATTTACCAGGAGACAAAGTTGTCTGATTGCTGGGAGAAATGATTGACAAGCAAGTTATTTTAAATGAAAGAACCAAAAAAGCAAACTTAGGTATTAGTAGCTCCAGTTTGAATTTCATTAAATCTAATTTTGTGAGATTAGATTTTTTAGTGTAGTAACCTCTACAGTTACCAGGTTCTGGAAAAAAAAAACACTTTGCCTTTTGCAGCAAGGAACCTGATAACTGTAGAAAAGAACAAAGACTGACTTTCATGTATGATATGGATGGACCATGCAGCTGAACCCTGTTCAGAGGAGCTGCCTAAGGTTTCCTACCTCTACTAAATTTCTATAGTGACAACTTGCTGTCAACACATCAAGACATCTGAGAGGTGTAAATTTGAGCAGGCGTTATAATCTGAATTTCCTTTATATCTGTCAAAATGACAGAGACTTAAAATATACTTGGGTAAACCGTCTAGGATCATCCATAGCAATCTCTGCTCCTTTGTAACAAGCAGACTTTGACAGTCTTTTGATGCCACACAAAACAGCATTAAGGCTTCAGCTGCCACACAGGGCATCACCAGCCTCCAAACACCAGACTCATGAGGATTGAGAGGTTTTTTTTTTTTATGGAGAAGGAACTTGTCAAAATTAACCTGCCTTGGCCAGTCAGAGTATGGCTTTTAACTCAACAATGTCCATAGGTTGGGCAGGGATGTATTGGTGGGAGAATCTTGTGGTTCAGTTGTCAACATTACCACAGATGAAATATAATCAAAGAAAGGCCATTTCTGGGTATCTTGTTTGTGGATAGGCATAGTTACTGACTCCAGAAGTCTGTCAGAGAAAGCCATTTTCATTAAATTCCTTAATTCCATATTTAGCAGACCTCTCTGAGAGATTTGAGGGAGTGTCTAATTTATTATCATATTTTTCACTTGAATATTTTTATTAATTAAATCAATTTACATCTTAGTCATATGATGCACCTTCTTTACTCACAATCCCACCATCTTTTCCACATCCCTCTCCCCTATTCTGTCCCATAACTACACACTATAGCTCATGGAGTCTTATGATGACTGAGTTCGTCACACTTCCCTGTGGTCTCTTAGGGCAGTACAATCAGGGGAAAGTGATCAACGAGCAGAAAACATAGTCCATGTCAGAATTATATCCTCTATCTTAACTACTGGGTCCACATGAAGCGTAATCATCCCTTCAGCTACTTACATGTAGAGGACCTAAGTCCAAAACCTTGTATTGTCCTTGGTGGGTGCTTTAGACTCTGTAGAACCCTCTGGGCCCTGTATGTTTGGCCCTGCTGATCTTCATGTGGAGTTCCTGTCACACATATATAAATGAATAAGTATATAGGTAAAACCAACTGAATCCATAGTTTAGTCTTTTGTATTACATTTATGTGATTGAAAAAAAAAAACATCAGCCTTCAGCTCAAATGGAAAAATAAGTTAATTTATTGTTGAATAAATTTGAGAGTCTCTGAACACAATTAAGGTCATCCCAAATCCCATGTTACAATGTGGAAGCACCATCATGCATTTTTCATAGTTACTAAATTAAGAAAGCTGTAAATCCAATACATCACTGGGAACATCAGAGAGGTTGTTAGCAGCAAGATGGAGAAAGTTATCATACAGGCCCAAGATGCTATATGATGTCATTCTTGTCTTTTAGATTGGCAGAAGCCAGTGGTGTGCTGGGTTTCTACATTCCAAAATGATTTTATTAATTATCTATAAGAGATCATCTCAACAGAAGCGGTGCCCAAGAAATGGCTACTCAGGGTGTGTCAGGTATCCTGGACTATGGTCATGAGGCCCTAAAACTACTACATTCCAATCTTTCCATATCATTAAACTTTCTATAGACAGTCTTTTCAGACACGGCTCTTTCCAGGAGTTCTCACTGATACATGTATACATTCATACAGTTCAATATTTAATATGGGATAATCCCTGGGAAAGACTAATTTTCTTTCTCTCAGTTGTTCCTAATTGCCTGGTGTTGACCAATAGATACCTTCTCAACATAGCATCTAGATATATATCTCAGATTATTATATTATATCCAAAAGTCATTTCTTCCTGGTGATGGTAGTCTGAAGGCAGAATCATTCCTTCAATAGAATCTAGTGGCCTTCAGGCTCATGATTTCTGTTAAGCTAACTGTGTAAGTGTCACCCAGACTCTTATCTACCACAGGTTTTGAAAGAAGCTTCTTAGGACCCATCCTTAAACACTGAAGCCCATGAGTGAGAGAGTTCAGTCCACCTACCTGAACAAAGTTACAATTCCTCCCCTTGAGAGCACTTTTGTGCTGTCTTAATATACTTGGGCTTTTCCTCTCTTTTATATGGTATTATAACATACTTTTTTTTCTTTCACTGCCTTACTTAAGAAACTCTACTTCTTCATTTAATCTGCAAGCTTCATGAAACACCTTTCCTTTAGTTACTATTTTTTAACATTTTTGTAAAGATTTATTAATTTTTACATTAGGTTTACAGTGTTTTGACTACATGTTTGTGTATGTACCACTTGTGTGCATGGTTCCTTCAAAGGTCACTGGAGGACACCCTAGAAGTGGTGGTACATATTATTGGAACCTAAAACTAGCTACTGGGACTTAAATCAGGTTCCTCCACAAGAGCAGCAAGTAGTCATAACATATCAGTCATTTATCAAGGCCCTAGAACACTATTTTACATAGGTTTATTTATTTTTATTTCATGCCTTGAGTGCTTACCTTCTTGTATATGTATGAATGTCCAGATGTGCTGGTGCCCAAAGATGCCAGAAAGGATCTTATCACCTAGAGCTACACATGGTTCCAAGGCTACCCAATGGGTACTGATAACTAATATTAGCTTTTATTCAAAGGAGTCATTGTGCCTAAATGCCTGGACATGTACCTATCCCCCAAAGAGACACTTTAACAGTAGGAGTGCATACAAACAAACTTGTTACAATTTTTAAATGAGTGTGAAATAAAATCATTTCAAAATAAAAGGACATATAACTGTTATTTATATTCCTAGTGAACACATTAGTAACTCTTCCATATCCTGATGCTTCCATGAACAGAAAGATTATCAGCACCTATATATTAAGCAGTCATATAACACAGACAAGTGACAATGCACAGCAATAAAAAAAAAACTATTACTAGATGCAGTTTAATTTCTGAGGTTTTAGGAGCCATTCCATGATGTTCCTAAGTTGTCCGGGGCTTATTCACAAAAGTTTAAAATGTCACAGGAAAAGTCATGGCCTAAGACCTCTAAGTTTCTGAATTTGATAAATAATTTCTGAAAAAAAAAATGACTGACTATACTCATCACTTTATCCCTATGTGTTTAGAACAAAATGGAAAAACTATCAAATTTTGCTGACTGTATACTTTGCCATTGAGGAGATCAATAAGGACAAACAATTGCTTCCTAATATAACCATGGGTTTCCATGTATACAATTCCTTTAATTCCAACAAAAGAACGTTGGAGGGCCCTCTGATGTTCTTGTCTGGGAGGAGTGATTATATCCCTAATTACAAATGCAAAACAAAGCACAAAGTTCTAGGAATCATTTCAGGAACCAGGCCGGAATTTTCTGCTGCTATTGGAACACTTTTGGGGCTCTACAAAGTCCCACAAGTAAGTTAGGAAAGTATTTTTGTTCACAGTCACATAGGAAACCTGACCAAAAGAAAATAAGCAATTGTTTACTTTAGGCAGATTTTAAAAGCAGTGAATGAATTACATTAGTATGGCAATGATTAGTAGAGGAAAGAGTGTGGTGAAAAGCATGAGCAGTACATTCTGATAATTTCGAAGCAGATAACTTAATAGTATTCATGATTCTATCTCTAAATGCTGGAAAGATGTTCTGTGGATACTGAGGCTATATTTGCTCACCAGTCAAATTCTACAACACCTAAGTGCCAAATCTAGCATATAAACATCTGACATCTGATAATACATAGAATGGTCAATATCTGACATAAGAAAATAGAAAGTACAGGACATGTTATTAAACTTGCAACAATCCTCAAGTGAAAAAATTTCAAGGAATTTTTATGATATCATTCAGGATAATACACCTCAGAGAGCAAAGAATATCTACATAGGTATACTCCCACTACTGACTATTGCCAGCCTATACTGAAGCAAAGCATCCATCAGAAGGCATTAGTATAAACAAAGAAAACATTGGGTGAGCGTAAGGATAGGAAATAATCAAGATCACAAAACCCACAGTGTGTCTCTGATTGTTATCATTTAGTTAAAGAATACATATGTGAAGAATGAACCCATTTCCCCTCTTAGGGTGATGACCCCAAATACATAGAACATCAGAATCACTTTTTTTTCTTTTGCTTCTTCAGGTCACATATGGACCTTTTAATGCTGAGCTAAGTGACAAAGTTACATTCCCATCCCTTTATCAGATGTCTCCTAAAGAGAGAGGCCTAACCCATGGAGTTATCCCTTTATTGCTATACTTTGGCTGGAATTGGGTGGGGCTTTTTGTGGTTGATTATCTGAATGGAAAAGAGTTTCTCTCTCACCTGAAAGCAGAGATGGCAACAGAAGATATCTGCGAGGCTTTTACACAAAAAATCCCTGCTTATTGGAAGCTAGGGTTAAAATATGTTGCTGATTTGGTGGACCTGAACCAATATACACAAGTGAATGTACAGGTATTCTATGGTGATATAGATGCCTTGCTAATATTCTGCCTTGATAATAGAATATTTTTAGCCAGAGGGAAAGTGTGGTTCATGGCAAAGCAACACTTAATACATTTAGATTCTGCAGCAGATGAGCATTATTTGATATACTTTTTCAGAGGAAGTGTATCATTTTCAAAGAAGAGAACTATCCCTGGTTTCAAGAACTTTCTTGAGCATCTTACACCCTCCCAATACCCAGAAGATATTTATTTCTCTAAATTCTGGGTTGACAATTTTTCTTGTTCACTTCCTGCCTTGCCATGTAAAAATCTTATACCCTGCTCAGCAAATATATCCCTAAAGATTAATCATGAAAAAATTGATCTGATGACCATTTCTGAACCCAGCTATTCCATATGGAATTCAGTGTATTCCGTGGCCCATGCCCTCCATAAAGCGCTATTGAGCAAAACTGAAATGGGATCTATGGAAGACAGAAACACAGACTGGCTTCTACCATGGCAGGTAAGCCTCACTCATATGCAAGGGAAGCTCAGGATTCAACATTATAACTAAGTAATTTACTGTGGTCAAGTCATTAAACCATTTTAATTTTATAATTAAAAGTATAAGTTAATATGGAAAAGGTTCTGTCACAGTACATCTGTATATGTGTGTAATTATCTTACATGATTTGGGGACTGAAAGCACTGACTTGAAGAAAGTCAATTTGAATGTCTTTTAAGAAATGTTTTCATAGTGTGAGATGAAATTTTATGAGATATAAATGTAGTCCATGTAAAAATAGAGCAAGTTCAATAATTAAAATTTATATGCTTTCATGGAATATGTCAAATGCCATGATGTATAGACATAGTCACCATATCCAAAGCTGCTTTTTCACATAAAATACAATTTGGGTTAAAAAAAAAAAGACTGTAGGAAGAACCTAAAGTGGAAAATAAATTGTCTGTCCTAGGGTCATGCGTAACTGAAAAGTAATTGCTTGTACAAATTCTTTATTCCTAAATGTGTAAAATGAAGTTAAACCAAACAGTGCTTCCATTTTAAAGATTAGAGCACAAACAGCATTCATAAGCTGAGGCTATATCTCCATGCATTAGAGATAGATAGATGTGTTTGGGTTTTAAACCAACAAGATATAAACAGAGCACATCCACACATATGAACCTGGATGATCACCTTCAAATAGGGTATCATCAAGAAGACTGTTGAACAAGTCAATTTAACTTTAAATTCTATCAAATCTAGATAAATAAATAAATTCTGAATGTATAGTGTACTATGTAATCTTTAGTATCATGGAAAACAATAATATTTAACACAGACATTGTCAAAGGTTTTGAACAAGGCCTACCAGAGATGTGGTATTAGGTAAGTTAGTATAACCTTTCTCTAGATAAGAGAGTACCTAAGCAACGGTTCTTTATAACATGAGTAGGAATTAGGTAACACAACATTGAATATCATAATTTAAAGTATTAACCATTTTAATTTGTTAGATATGGAATTAAATCATGGTGGAGGTATGATTCAACATTTATAAGCATGTGCTTCTCATAGAGGGTCCCCGAGTTTGGTTGTTAACACACATATGTTGGCTCACAACTGTATTTTACTTCAGCACCAAGGAGTCTGACACACTCTTCTGCTCTCTACAGGCATCAGGCATGCACTTTGTGTACATATATACATACTTGTGGGTAATAAACAAAAGGAAAAATAACACATATCGAGGGACCTGAGGTAGCTCAGTGTTTAGAAGTACTTTGTGCTCTTGAGAAAACCCATGGTTCCTGTTGTCTAGATAAAAGCTAACAACTGTCTGTAACTCTGCTTCTGGGGGATCCATCACCTTCTTCTGGCCTCCATAGGCACCAGACACATTTGTAGTGCATATTGTACCACATATTGTTCATATCAAAGCTGAAAGTCAAATGTTGTGACAGAAAACAAACCAAAGAGAAATGAAGGCAGGTAGTGGGTCTCTTTTCAGTTTCCTGAATTATAACTGACATAAAGTTTGTACATATTTAATGTACATTTTTAAATGAATCTGGAGTTTTGCATAAACTCCTACTAATAGTATCTCATTGTAATCTCATATACCAATTTACCTAATTGAAATACACTCATATTCATTGTGTGGCATCAGAAAGGACATATCTTAATACATATGAATCCACTGATTTTCTCTAAAAAAATTGTATTTTCTAATTAGAAATGTTTTGCTCATGCTGGGGAAAGTTACAGGGCCTTGTTCCCTCTAAGGACATGCTCCACATTTTCCATAACTTATGTTCAGTAGCTCTTGCATTACTTTCATGGGAAGAACTGTTCATCTCAATAAGGCAAGTGTGGGGGGACACCTAAACAAACTAAGCCTCTTCAAAAACAAAGCCGAGAGAGAGAGAATGGATTTCCCTTAAAGGTCATCAAACAGTAGTTTGTATGGGCCACTCATATCAAATGATGTCTCTCTTCAGCTGCATCCATTTCTGAGGAAAATTAAAGTGATGAATGATGCTGGAGATGAAATAAGCTTCAATGAGAACAAGAAAATTATGGAAACATATGATATACAAAATTTTGTGGAACATACTCAGCATATTTCATTACTAGTTAAAGTGGGAGAGTTTGTCTTCAAGAGTCCACAAGATCAAGGCTTTTTCATCAATGAAGTTCTGATTAAATGGCCAAGCAACTTCAATCAGGTCTGGAAGTTTTTAATATTTAATATGTAGAAAAATATTTGTAAAGAGTTACTAAAATTAATTGTGTGATGTCTTTTAGATATTTTTAAATAAATGTTTTTAAATTTCAGTTTATTTTCTTTACATCCCCCAAATGATTCCTCTTTCCTCACCTCTTAGCTTTCCCCTCTCCTTCTTTTCCCCTCTCCTACTCTTTTTCCCCCCAGAAAAAAATGATCTCCCCTCCCACCATATCAACCCTCTCCAACACATCAAGTCACATCATAACTGACCATATCATCATCTACTGAGGCCAGGAAAGCCAGCCTGCCAGGGGAAAGTGCTCCAAAAGCAGACAATAGAGTTCATGTTTGAAACAGCCTCCCTGCCTCCAACTACACTTGCCAGGTGACCAATATGAAAACCAAACTACTCATTCGCCAACTATGTGCAGAGGGCCAATGCCCAGAACATGCATGCTCTTTAGTTGGTGTCTCAGTCCCTGTAAACCCCCATGGTTCTTAGTTAGTTGTCTCTGTTAGTCTTATTTTGGGGTTCCTGTCCCTTCTAGGTCCTTCCAACCCTTCCACAAAACTGCTGGAACTCCACCCCATTCTTGGCTATAAGTCCCAGCATCACCAATCAACTGCTGGATGGAGCCTCCCAGAAACCTGTTCTGTAAGGCTCTCTGCTGTGTGGTGGGTCTCAGGTTGGGTCAATTATTATTTGGAGTTTTCCCTCAATCTTTATTCCTGCACTTCTTGCAGGCAGGGCAATTTTGGATCAAAGGTTTTGTTGATGGGTTGATTTCCCCTCACTCCACTAGTCCTGCCTGGCCAGGAGGTGGTCACTTCAGGTTTCATATCTCTCCCTGTTAGGGGTGTCAGCTATAGGAACACCCACATCCTCCCACTGACCTCCAGCTTGACAAATATATTACATTAGTTTCCCTTCTTGTTCCCAGCCCTAGAACCTCCCACTGACATTGTCCCTACATCTGATCCCAACTCTTGTTTCTCTCCCAATTACACCTCCTGTCTAGTCCCCCTCTTTATCCACTTCTGCTGTCTAATCTATTCCCCTTCTGAGTGACATTCCAGCACTCTCCCTTGGGCCCTCCTTCTTACTTAGCATCTTCATGTCTGTGGATTGTTGCCGGAGCCTGCCAGCAGAGTCAAACGGTTCTTGAGTTGGGAGTGAGGATTAAAATTAATAAATTAACATACAACACACAGTGGGGAGATTAGACTCGACCAGCCAGCAGCCTGACTTTATTGCAGAGAGCTTTTAAGCCAGAGTAAAAACAGCTCAGAACAATGGGTTAAATTTACAAGGAGGTGAAACAAGAGGTGTGATTTTGACAAGCTCTCCCACCTGCTGTTACCAACAAAAGGAGATGGACTTGCAAATTCTTCCCTGACTTCAGTGAAGGCCTGGTAAAAGCAGTCTTTCTGCTGGGATTTAAATACCAATGCAGCTACCAGATTGTAGTAGGTTTATTCTGTACTATAGGTCCAATATCCTCTTGTAAGCAAATATATAACCAGATGTGTCTTTCTGCTTCTGGATTACCTCACTCAGGATGATATTTTCTAGTTCCCACCATTTGTCTGCATATTTCATGATGTCCTTGTTTTTAACAGCTGAGTACAGTTCCATTGTGTAAATATAGCACAATTTCTTTACCCTCTTTTTGGTTGAGGGACATCTAAGTTGTTTACAGTTTCTGGTTATTAAAAATATAGCCTGTATGAACGTAGCTGAGCAAATGTCCTTGGTGTATGGTAGAGCATATTTTGTGTAAGTGCCCAGGAGTGGTATATCAGGGTCTTGACGTAGAAATATACCCAGTTTTCTGAGAAATTGCCCGCTTGATTTCCAGAGAGATTATGTAAGTTTCCATTCCCATCAGCAACGCAGGAGTGTTCCCCTTTCTCCACATCCTTGTCAGCATGTGTTATAACATGAGTTTTTGATCTTAGACATTCTGACTGAAGTAAAATGGAATCTTAACGTCATTTTGATTTGCAATTCTCTGATCGGTAAAGACATTGAGCATTTCTTAAATGCTTCCCAGCCATTTGTGATTCCTGCTGTGAATTCTCAGTTTACCTTTGTACCTCTTGTTTTAATTGGATTATTTGATTTGCTGATGTTTGATTTCTTGAGTTCTTTGTGTATTTTGGATATCAGCCCTCTCTGTGATGTAGGGTTGGTGAAGATCTTTTCCCAATCTGTAAACTGCTGTTTTGTTCTAAAACCAGTGTTCTTTAATTTACAGAAGCTTTACAGTTTTATGAGATCCCACTTATTAATTGTTGATCTCAGAGCTGTTCTATTGTCATCCTATTGTCTGCTATGCTAATGAGTTCCAGACTTTTCCTCCATTTTATCTTCTAATAGATTTAGAGTCTCTGGTTTTACTTCAAGATCTTTGATCCACTTGGACTTGAGTATGTGCAGGATGATACATACAGGTCTATTTGCATTTTTTACATGCAGACATCTAGTTAGACCTTCAATTTGATTCTACTGATCAACCAGTCTTCTTCTGTGCCAATACCATGCATGTTTTATTTTTATTGCTATGTAATATAGCTTGAATAAGGGATGTTGATACTGCCAGAAGTTTTCATTGTACAGAATTCTTATCTTGGCTCTTTTATTTTTCCATATGAAGTTAATGGTTGAACTTTCCAGGTCTGTAAAGAACTGTGTTGGAATTTAATGGGAATTGCATTGAATCTGTGGATGGCTTTTGGAGGATGGCCATTTGTAGTATGATAATCCTAACAATCTATGATGATGGGAGTTCTTTCCATCTTCTAAAATCTTCAGTTTATTATTTCAAAGACTTGAAGTTCTTGTTATACATGTCTTTCAATTGCTTCATTGGAATTACACCAAGATATTTTATAGTATTTGTGGCTATTATGAAGTGTGGTTTTTTTTTTACCTAATTTCTTTCTCAGCCTTATTGTTGCTTGTGTACAGAAAGTCTACTGAATTTTTTGAGTTAATTTTGTGTCCAGACACTTCACTGAAATTGTTTAGCAGCTGTAGGATTTCACTGGTAGAATCTTGGGGGTCACTTATCATCTGCAAATAATGATACTTTCAGTTCTTCTCTTCCTGTTTGTATCCCTTTGATCTCTTTTGTTTTATCACTCTGGGTAGAAATTCAAGCACTGTATTGAGGAGCTATGGTGCAATTGGCAGCTTTGTCTTGTCCCTAATTTTAGCAAGAATGCTTGAAGTTTTTGTCCATGTTGGCTATTGGCTTGCTGTACATTGCCTTTATTTTGTTTAGTATGTGCCTTGCCTCCCTGATTGTATGAGGTCTCTTGGAAAATTTAAAATGATTCTTATATTCAATATTCTTAGCTCTATTGTGATTGTGAGCTTGTGTGTGACTGAGCACATGTACTTGTTAGGGCCACACTCAACACTGGTTATCTTCCTCAGTTGCTCTTCCTTTTATTTTTAAACAGGTTATCTCTCTAAAACCTATGCTTATTGTTTTTGCCATATTCAGTGGAAAGCATTTCCTTGACTTTCTCACTGTCTTCATGACCACAAAATTTCTATTTCTATTTCTATTCTATTATTCTGTACCCAACTTTTCTTTCTATCCCTTCAGCATGATCAGTTCAGGTATTCATGTTCATGTGACAAGAATGTTAAATGCTAAATCATCTCTTCAGTTCACTTTGATCACCTTCAGAAATAAACCAGCATTTCAGAATTATGTATATGTAAACATATAAACATACATACAAACAAACTCATAATGTTAACTACTTCCTGCAGATAGAATTAGATGAATTGAATTTCAATGTGTGTTCATTCATGCTGCAGTCAATGAATGAATGTTCATGGTTATATAGGTGTGTAGGTGTGTGGGTTGTGTGTACATACACATATATACAAATGCATGTACATAGTCACATATTTTTATTATACATGCATGATCATGCTCAAGCATCCTTCCATTAATACAACTCATACTCAAGCATATCAATAATTTTACAAGTTTGTGAATTAGCATGAACAGAAAATGAACTATGGATTTTAATACAACACATTTCTTTAACAAATGTATATAAGCTGCCAGATATGTGTGCCAGAAATTGTAGTCATATTTCTCTGCCAGAACAGTATGCACTCTTAACTGCTGATCCAGTTATCCAGAAGTATATTCCTGTTAATATATTAAAATTTATGAGATAGGAAATGAATCCGAACAAAGGCAGAAAAGAGGTCTATGAATAGATAGAAATGTTTGTTCCTGTTCTACACAATTTTTAACATATAACAAACTAAAGTTGTGCTAGTTTAGTAGTTAATGTGATTATCTAATGTGCAACTGGTGAAAATCCCATGTGACAATGTCACTAATGTTTAAAAAGAAAGAACTATTCCTAGCATTGGGAGTTAAGGTTAAAATTCACAGTAATATATCATAATACACCAATGGCCAAACCATCTTTCATGAGAAAACTAAACTTCCTTTTGCAG